ACTGACTGTTCCCTACTGCTGACACAACCAAACCCTGATTCTTTGTCTTTCCTAATTTTCCCACCCACCCATGCTTTCCATACAAGCGAAGACCCAGCTGCAAAGCACCTCAACTCCCCGCATGGGCCTCACCTGTCCCTTGTATCTTGGTGCTCCTGCTAGCCAGGCCCTTAGCTACCCTGCTCACTGTCATTTCTCCCTCCCCTAATACTGGCAGCCACAGTGGTCGAAGGAGGTGGTGAGTGACCCTTCAGGTCTCACCAGCAGGGAGGTAAAATGGTAGAAACCACTTACGAAAATAGCTTGGCAGTCTCTTAAGTTAAACATGGAGTTACCATGTGACCCAGCAATTCTTCTCCTATGGAAAAATGCCAAGAAAAATGCTGCAAATGAAACCGTATGTCCCCACAAAGACTTGTACGCAAAGACGTCAGAACAGCATTATTGGGTCAAAGCCTAAAGTGGAAACAATCCACGAGTCTATCAATAGTGAATGGTTAAGCAAAACGTGGTATGTCCATACGACGGGCTAGTCCTAGGCAATAGAAAAGAGCTAACTAGTGGCATGCTGTAACATAAATGCCCCTCAGGACAATGTAAGGGAAGAAGTCAGGTGCCAATGACCACACCCCAAAAGATTCTACTCACATAAAATGTTCAGAAAAGGCAAATCTGTACAGACAGAAAGTAGATTAGTAGTTGTCTGGGGCTGGGAGTGGGAACAGGGATCGCCTGCTAATAGGCACAGGGGATCTTTTTGGAATGACAGAAATAGTCTAAAATTTGATGATAGTGATGGTTATACAACTCCGTAAATTTTTCTAAAAATCACTGAATGTTAAGGAGCAAATTTTATGGTTTCTAAATTATACCTCAATACGGCTCTTATAAAAAAAAGATCTCACCAGATACACAGCCACCCAGAGGGGCCTCTGGGTGTCCCCCACCATTAAGGCATGAGAGAGGATAAGGCTAACAGGGTAGGGGGCACCCGCACTAGCTTCCTTGCCTCTGCCAGTCATTTCCGTGTTGGGGCCCGAGGCCCCGGGTGCCATTCGGATCCTCCAGCCTGAGAACAGCGGAGTGACTGCGACTTGGTGCCACCATGCCCTTCACCTTGAGGTGCAGGCCCTCACGTGGGGTAGCACTCAGTACATCCTCCACAGCAAACTCCTGACCTTGTCTAGCCCGACTGAGCCCAGGCTGCACGTGGCTGCTCTTCGGAAAACAGTTTCAGGAGCAATCCTAGGAGCAAATCAAGAGTCAGCCTGATTTTAACAACCTAGAGACTTCAGGAACTTTGAGACAGAGGAAAAAAGCGGGGAGAATAAAGATCGGGTGTAGGATCTCTGTTGAAAATTTACTGAATTCACACAAAACCAAGGAAATCTGCTAAGCAGATTGCTGATACACAAAATATTTCAAAGGGAGTGTTGAATCTACTTAAGAAACACCCATTCCTGATATCCAAGGATAGATATTCTAAGTATAATTTATTCTCACTGAGGCATTAGAGGAAGCCAATGAGATGTCACATTGCAGCAAACTGTAAACCTAATTCAAATGGCCTTTCCTCATCTAACATTGTTGCGACTGAATGTTTTTATAAAGGCTAAGTACCGCTCACAATTATACTGAAGGAGTGAAGTCTTCCACCACATTCATAGAAGTGCTCAATTTTAATCCTTCAAATGTTAATAAATATATATCTAATCTCAGGGCAATTGTTTCTACATTTGGACATTTCACACTAGCAACCACACTCGACACATCTGCAATCTAGACCTCATTACTTGGGGATCCATGACCAAAGGGCCCCGTCACTGAAAGCATTTATTGAGATCATCCCAAGCAAAATGGGAAATTTTGGAAGCAAAAACAAGAACAACTTTCTCAGCACTTTCCATTCCACTTTATATCCAAATAACATGCTAATTATAAGAAATTTTATTATCACTAAAAACCAATACCGTTTCATTTGAAAATACTGAAAATGGTTTCCTTTCATCATATCCTACCATTTCTGATTAATTATAATTAACTTGAGTAGAACAGCCTCTTTTTATATCCTTCACAACAGTGACTCTCAAACTTTTTGATCTCAGGACCCCCTTCTGCTCTTAAAATCTACTGAGGACCTCCAAGAGCTTTTGTTACTGCAGGTTATAGCTATCTATACTTTCTGTATTGGAAATTTAAACTGAGAGCATTTTTAAACTATTTATTACCTACTTTAAAAAAACTCATTACATCTTCTCTTTTTTTAAATTAGACATACCTGTACTTTCAAAAACAAAAGAAAAATTGGAAGGGTTGTACTGTTTGACACGTTGGAAATATATTTAATGTGTGCCTTCATGGAAAATACCTGGATTCTCAAACATGCTTCTAACTGTTTGTCCTGATGGCGTTGTTTGGCTGAAGTAACACGAAGAAAATCCAGCCTAACACAAATCAGGAGCTAGAAAAGGGAAGTATATTTTAATAGGCTCTTCAGATAACTGTGGTCATTTTTCTCTGATACTACACCAAAACTTAACAAGTGATAGTTTCTTAAAAATTAGTTGCAGTGTAGGGGTGCCTGGGTGGGTCATTTGGTTAAGCGTCTGCCTTGGGCTCAGGTCACGATCTCAGGGTCCTGGGATCGAGTCCCCCATTGGGCTCCCTGCTCAGTAGAGAGTCTGTGTGTCTCTTTCTCTCTCCCTCTGCCTCTCCCCCAGCTCATGCTCTCTCCCTCTCTCAAATAAATAAAAATCTTTTTAAAAAAAATCAGCTTCAGTGTGGAATCTGAAACTGTATCAATGAACTTTTCAAACTCTATTACATGAAAATCCACTGGTTTAACTTACATAATACCAAAAAAAAAAAAATAAAATAAAATCACTTGTTAATATGGCTGTGGATCTCACCAGAAAAGTCTGTTAAATATTGGGAAGCTGTCAAGTTCATGGTGGTGGATACGAGTTTTCCAAAATTCTTATTTTTACTAGAAAGCTGGAATTTTCTCTTTGGTCATAGTGTCAGTTGCTTTCCTTGAGGTGGCAGGCAGGCAGGCTCAATGCATTCATTTGCAATGTGTACTCTAGGTCCAAGATGTCGTAAAATTTATAAAGGACATTCTTGGTGTAACTCGTTCTCTCTTTTTTTTAAACTGTGTGCACACACCCGCCCGATTAAGCTAAGGCTTCAGCGGTTTCACCCTTCTGCTTTTGAACTACTGGCGTGCATATCAGCAGCTTGCACAAGCCAAATAATGTCTCAGGGTTGTAGTGAAAATATTTCTGGCCTTCTCAGTCCTTTGAAAGGCTACTGATGCACTCCCTGGGGGTCTCCAGGCCATACTTTGAAAACTGCCCTGTTACCACATAATAACTGACTTCTAAACACCATTCAAATCACGAGTGGCAGCCTCCAATTTAGAAAGGTATTATTGCTTGTTCAGGTTATCCACATGTATTACCCCTCCCAAGAACCTTAATGTAAGTGGAAGGCTATTTCCACAATCCAAATTCAAAACAGAACCATGAAAAATGAAATCTAGTTACCACGTAAGAATACAAGAAACTAAACAAACTAAATTTAATATGGAAGTTCTCCAAGAAACTTAAAACATGTATTTTTCCTTCATTTATCCACTTGTTGGGCTTTCTTGTGGAAGGCGTTTGCTTGGTATTGGAGAAATGGAGAGTCCTCGGTGGACAGGACTCCCCCCCCCTCCAATAGCTGAGTTTACAGGGTGTGAAGCAACCAGAAAACAAAGCAGAGGCGCTACCGCCAAACTTATCTAATTACAAGGTCCGGAGCCCCACCCTACAAGTAGCCTCTCCTTTGTAATCTCGGAGTCTCTGTTTTCTTAGCTGGACACGAGGCAAATTCCATTTAACACTGTGAGGAGTGGAGGAAGTGCGTGGAAAGTCTCAGCACGGCCCCCAGCCCCCAGCAGGTCAATAAATGGTAGCCACTGTTAGGAGTAAGGTGCCCCCGAGGCAGTCCCGGGTCCAGAGGGGAGCAGGACACACATAGAAGTAATGACCCAGCGTGGGAACTGATTAACTACAAAAGGCACTGGGAGTAAAAGGAAAATCAATGGTCTGCCTAAGGGATGAAGGTGCCATAATAAAGGAGCCACCATCTCAAAGGAAGGAGGAGCTGGCCCCATGGGAGAGAAGGAAAGGGAAGAAGTCCATCAGACACACAGAGCAGCTAGGCACAGGGCAGCTAGCAAGGAAAACACCCTGCAACCAGCTCACTTGGGGCCTTTAAATGCTATGCTCAGGGGTGCAAACACTTGAAGAGATTTTCTTTCTATTTTTCTAGAGACTGAAGCCTTAGAAACACTCATTGCTAAAAGGTCATCTGTCTTGCAGCCTTGGTATCCTCACCTCCCATATACACACGTGGTACTTACGCCTGTGACCTGTTAGCCGTCCCCTGGCCTGAGTGTGACTAGTGGAGAAAGAACAGAAAAGCTCCTCTCGGAGGCCGTGGGACGGCAGCAAGCCCCAGCAGCTGGGGGAATCCGCCCTTGCTGTTTTAAAGCCCAAATGAGGCACATACTGGGTGAAGCCATTTTGTATTCTCTCTGCCACGTATAAAATCTGGAAGCATGAAACTTTATCTTCATCCCAGCCCCATTCTGCCTCAGGTCCTGGGCTCCAGTGGAATTTTATAGGTCTCTCGGCTTAATGGAGTGAGAACAGAAAGAGGGGCTAGTGCCCCGTGTTTTCCATCACAACTGCAGCCGTGTGTGAAGTCTCCAGCCATTGCAGGAGTGAGCCCTGAAGCCCACAGAGGCCTCCGCGCTCTCTTGTTCTTGGGCAGGGACACCAAATGCTGCCTGGGTGCGTCTGTACCTGAGGATGGACCACAAGGCCAGCCTGAGGACAGCCCCCCAGGTGCAGTCAGCGAGTACCCATAACCAGCCGCGCTGCTCCGCACTCACGTACGGGAGGTGCCCGTTCAGACGAAACCCACCGCCACCACAGCAATGTCTTACTCACCCAGAATTTTACGAGGAAGAAGGCATTTTGAGGGCCTTTTCCAAACAGTTCCTTTAAGCCACCTTTCTTTTCAGGAAATTTGTCATAAATCTGACGAATGTCCACTGATTCGAGCAATGGGTCACTGTAAGAATGGTTGGCATGCCCAATGTGCACGAAGAGGTGTTTGTTGTACTGTAAGAAACCAACAGAAACATTCCCATTACAAACCCTTTGGTCAACCTGGGGCACATCCATCTTGAACTGGAAGGAGAGCAGTGGTCTCGAAATCCCGGACTTACACCTTGAATAGCCTAGGGTCTGTGCCTTTGAAAAAATGAAGATGTTCAGAAAAGCCATTATAGGGGCGTCTGGGTGGCTCAGTTGGTTAAGCATCTGCCTTTGGCTCAGATCATGATCCCAGGGTCTTGGGATCGAGCCCCACATTGGGCGCTCTGCTCCGCGGGAAGCCTGCTTCTCCCTCTCCCACTCCCCCTGCTTGTGTTCCCTCTCTCGCTCTCTCTCTCTGTCAAATAAAAAAATAAAATCTTAAAAACAAAAAAACCGTCATAGCTCAGGGTCAAAACCATCATTGTCTTTTACTGACAGGGGTATCTATTTTCCCTCAAAAAGGCTTTTCGTAGACATAGTAGTAAATAACACCTGAAGTTACCTGACTACCAAACCAAGAAACTATTCTATCACCCAGTTTCACCTAACTCAACTGAAAATGACAGCAACACCCTTTGAAGCCCAATATTTACAGTTCAGCCCAATGAGGAGCATGTGTGTAGTCCACTAACATCATCACCCAGAATGCACTTCTTGCTCCAGCTCCCCAGCAACAGCACGGATGCAATGCTCTGGGCAATGGTACCCACGTACTCCCTCCAACAGGAGTAAGAGTGCTGAGCCTCTTTCTCACCAGTCTGCTTAGTAACCAGTCTAAAGCTTCTGCATAAGGGCCGGTCAGCACATGGTTGTCAGTGCAAAGTTAGGGTCAGGAGAACAGTTCATGGAGAGGATTCATGGTACAAGGTCATATGGGGCCAGTGATCAGAGAACACAGGTCACTCATTCACAAACCAACCAACCAAAACCCGGTTAAGTCACTTAACTTACGAAAAAAACCCTTTTTTCTCCTTGCTTTGTATTATACCATGCTTGGTATAAAACATGTTAACTGGACCACAAAGGAGTTATCCAAACCAATGGTTCTCAAAGAACATTTAAAAATCACCAATGCCTGGGGCCATCCAGACTACAGGGGAATCCCAGAAAATGAGGCTAGGCATCAGTAATTTTTAATAGGCATTAAATGAATTCCAGTATGCAGCCAGGTTAGAGAACCACTGGCTTACACTTTTTACTCCAGACCCTCCATGCCTGCCTCTCGGGCTAATTAAACTGTAACACCAACCTAACGAGACACAAAGACATCTGCGGCTGTCGGGGCTGTGGGGAGATCAGAACCCAACAGGGCTCATGCAAGAAATTCCATGTCCCAAGTCACCTGGCAGTCCCTACTTACTTTTCAAGTTTAAATGGTTATTTCCCCAACTAGAGTCCTTCAGAGTACTGACTCCATTAGAAATGAGAAGTCCCAAATAAAAGAAAGCTTGGTCAAAGCTGCCTACCAGGCGAGTACTGTATCCTGGGTAAGAGTTTGGGGTTTGGACTCAGCCTGCTCAAGCACAAAACTTTGTGACCACTGAAAATTAGCTAAGACACTGGGCAAGTGCCTCCCCTGTCTGTGAAATGGGGAAAGTGCTGGCATCTGCCTCCTAGGGATGCTTCGGGATTTAAATGGGAAACTAAATATAAAGAGCTCACAGATTCAACGAACAGCAAATGATAAATGCTAGCTATTATTATTGTTTTGTAAAACCCCCCTTCTTTGAGCATAGTTAAAAAACATTTCTTAACTTGGTATGACCCAAAGTTTCCTAAGCTCATGTGGTCACAAAAGCCTACAGATGTATCCTGAAGAAATGCTGGTTTAAATCCATGACTTGCTACACAGGCACCGGATCTCTGGCCACAGGACCAACGGGCAGGAGGCCCGACACCCCATCCAAAGTCAGTGGTCCACGGTGTTGAACACCTGGGGATGGGGGCCAAGGCCCAGCATCTTCTGGGAGAGGGCTAAGCCCCTCTCCTGCTCAACATCAGAGTGATATCCCTACAAAAGCTTCAAAATGCCTAGGAGGTATCAGGTGAAATGAAGAAGGGGACCCTGTCAAGCTCTGCCATAGACCCAGCCTCTGCCCAGCTAGCTGCTAGCTTTCAGGTGAAACTGAGGGCTGGGAAGCACTCTGCAGGGACAGAGTATGCCTATAACGGAAGAGAATTTTTTTTAAAATGAAGTCAAAGCCATTGCCAGGTTGGGGAGCTGAGATTATGGGGTACAATGGAATGTCTTTGACCTTTTCGTAAATGTTCCCAAATGTTGTTGTCACATCATCTTTTCAACAATAAGCAAACAAAAGCCCACAGAAATGTATGAGGCACTCCTGCTAATGAGCTTCCATTCTCATTAGTGGGCAGAGGGAGAAAAAACACAGTTGGGGACACAGACACTGGTGTAAAGGCCGCCAGAGAGGCAAAGATGAATGAGTAGTGTGTGTCTCCTGTCTAGCTCCTCTGCTCACTCTCCACTTACCCACCATTCTGAGAGCTGAGGGCAGAAGGTCTCATTCTTTCATTATCCGGATGACTGGCCTTCTGCAGGTCCATCCATCCCACCCTTGTATTACTAACCTCTGCTGGCAGCAAGCTCCTGGGCCCTCCCAGCTCCACTGGGGAGGTACCGTTTCTGTCCTGTCGTGTGCCACCTGCAGGCAGTGAGTTTATGGGCAAGGAGGCAACACGAGCAGAGCTATGGGGACACCTGTAGCCAGAACCACAGTCTGTCTGCTGAACACCATGCTCTCAGCTCCTCTTCCTTGGCAGCCGCCCACGGGCAGGCAGAGCTGGGGACGGAGGTAAGAAGCTGAGACTTGCGTTTTCTTTTTGCTCCTGACATCCAAAGGCCCCTGCAGTGTACTGCTGGAACGCAGGACCTCTACTTGTCAAGAGGACAGGAAGGTGAAGGGAGGGCAAAATTTATCACACTTTAACAGGGGCCTTGAAGATATGGGTGAAAACCAAAGGGCTGAGCGCAAAGCACAAAAACTCTGGAGCCAGATGAGAATCTGAAATCTCAATTTTGCTCATATGTGCAACGGGGATACAGTATGTATAATACGCAACAGGACTGAAGATAAAAGGGAATAATGCACAGAGGGTGCTCGGCATAGGGCCCAGCATATAAGAAGTGTTGGGGAAATCGCAGCGGCTGAGATTACTATTGTTGTGGTTTATTATTATGTGAGATTACTAGATCCTGGGGGAGAAGAAAAGAACTTTCCTGCCTTAGCTACCCCTCCTGCGTAGCAAAGAAAAAATAAACACAAGTAAGCCAAGAGCTGGGAGCAAGTTGTGAAGCCATGTGACTGTTCAAATCCTAGATTCTGGCCCACTCATAACAAGCTTCTCGGGGTGTGGGTCTCTCCTGTGCCTGAAGGAAGGAAAAGAGCTGTGTCCACTCACTGCTCTGTGCCATGTGCTTTCTACATACGTGACCTCAGGTAACCGTGGCCTTGCAACGACACCGTAGGGACATTTTATTAAAGTCATTACACATGGGGGAAATGGAAGTTCAGAAATGAACAGACTAGCCTGAGGTCACACTTCCGGGAATAGTCCTGGAGTTAAGAATAAAACTTGGACCTGTCAACGCCACAGACCGTGCATTTGCTGCAAATATCAACCACACTGTCTCCCAGCAGAAAATGCCTCGACCCTTCTCACTCAGATCTACTTTCTACTTTTTCTGAAAGCTGATTTGAGAAAAAAGAAGAAGGAGAAAAAAAAAAAGCTAACTAATGTTTTCAAAATTCTAATAAGTTAAATTAGAATTCAGGATAAACTTAATGATTCGCAGATACAGCAGACAGACTCTTCAAAGGTTTCTATTTTGAGGAAGTTACCTTTGTGCGCCAGTGGCTGAAATGAACTGAGAAGGGCAGGCTGTCTTTGCCAAAGGAAACCGGGCACTGCCTCTCCCAGGCTGGTGACGTGAAACCAAACCCTGACTGCTGGCATCTGGGTGCCTTTATTCCTGCCAAGAGGTGACTTTGTTTCTAAGAATACAAAGGACTAAAGAAGGTATCCTGGAGACCACAGCAGTGAGACAAACAGCCCTCCCTCTCCCCTTAATTCAACCTGGGTAGGTCAGGAATCCCTCTGCCCCCAAATCCAGAAGACTGAAAAGAAGAAATCTACCTGATATGTTTGGGTTCAAGTTTTGATAAAACCCAAACTCTAAAAAAACCATTTGCTAAGACTCTAACTATTTCCCATCCCATCAGTTCTCCTTATAAGGGAAGAAGGCCAGGGTGAATACCTTATTTCCCCTCTCTCCTTCCCAAATAAATCCCATTTTCTTTTCAGCAATGGTGGTTTCCCCAAAACTAAAGGTGAAGCGCAAAACCAAAAAAGGGCAATTCTATTTTATACGGCAGGAAACAAATATTTGCAAAGCAACACCAACAGCAACAACTAAAATCCCAAGTATTGGGGGCAATACATAAGCAGAAACAGAGTAAATGTCAAGAAGTCGTGTATACTAAAGCCCAAGACTAAATTTCCTTGATATCCAAAATAGAGGTTAATGTTGGTTTGTTCAATTATAAAAAAGTCTCCTTAGGCACTCAGGAGATATGTTGATGATTAACAGATCAATGACAACAACAAAAAAAGGTATTCACTCTGCTTATTTCTTTTATGGATTTCAGTAGAACAAACTGGCATTCCTATGACACATTCTATGCTAGGCACAGGGAATCCATGACCTAATAAGTACAAAATCCCTCCCTTCAAAGAACCTATAGAGTTGAATGTATGGAGCTAGCTTATTGACCCTACGGTCAGAATCATATATTTTCCCATGTAAATATATGTTCTCAATGATCCCAACAGAGAAGATTGGTAATAAAGAGTCAACATCCCCTCTCCTATACACCACATGACTTAAGTCAGCATTCACCTGCTCTTTTTATATGAATGGCTGTATTCTCCAGCACTAAACAGTGTTATTCGTTAGCAAGAACACATGTGGAACTCACTTGAAAATGTGCATCAAGTTTCACAAG